CAGCGAAAAGACGGGCTCGGCCCTTTCCCGAGGAAAGGAAAGCGAGGATGGGGTGAGGGGGAAAAGCTAAAAGGTGACCTGCAGAGCAACGGTCTCAGAAATCAGGGGTTGGGTACGGTACCTCTCCTCCTCACGCGGGTTTTCTAGCCCTCGAGAGCTTCCCGGGGTGCACAAAAGCAGGCGGCTTTGGCTACGGATCAATGCAGGATGCGATAAACCCCTAAGGTAGCTTTTCTCCCTGGTTACATCCCTGTTTACATGGGGCAGCCAACTTCAAACAAAACAAAACATACGGGGTTGCTTACACAGCAGGCCAGAGGGGGGGGAAATAACCCCATGCAGAGGCTATTTAAGCAGCCACCCTCAATGGTTGATGCCCCAGAGGAAGGTTTTCAGGGTAAAAGAGACCCCAAACTTTTAAATCCAACAAGAAAAAGTTAACCCCAAAGCCGAACAAGGGACAGTCATGAGTTTCGGGGTCCTTCGTCTGAAAGCAAGGGGAAAAAGGGGACAGGATCGGGCACTACTTGCAGGTCACCTTGGGGAGGGTTAAAGAAACCGGACGGGTCAATTGCAAAGGGAGAGTGAGGAGCCCACATAGAAGAGCCAGAAGAAAGGAAAGATCTTTTCGGTGAAAGCGGCCGTGAAGGTGAAGATGGGAGCCATGTTATCGGCGTTGTAAAACGCCACCCACCCACCTTCGTAGTCCAGGTACACCCCGATCTTCCTGGGCCTCTCGCACAGGGACAGGGGCGTCTCCGGGGAGGTGAAAGCCTGATACTGATCCCAATTCTTCCCCTTCCAGTTCAACCCCACCGCCCAGATCCCCTCCTCTGGAGCAAAGTCGATTTTCTCCTTCCTCCGCACCGACTCGCGGGCTGCCCCCAGGACCCAGCTCTCTCCATCTCCCACCTCCACCTCCCAGTAATGCCTCCCAGCTATGAAACCCTCTGCCGCCAGCACGCAGAAGGAGTAATCGAATCTCTTGGGGTTTGCCGGCAGCTCCTGGGGAGCACTCCTGAGCCGCACGCTCCTCTTGTCCTCCGACAGCACCAGGTAGGGGTTGGCAGTGTCCGGGTCCAGGGAGAGATCACCTGGGAAGAGGGAAGCATGGACGTGAGCGTCTGCAAGCTAAGGACCCTTCTCCCACCCTCGTCGGAGCCAGCCTCCAAGGGAATTCATTGTCTCTGCCCCAAACCAGACGAGGACGACACCAGGCGAGGCGCCTCCAAAAGCTTTAAGCACCCAAAGTGCCAAGAGCCGCAGGGGGACAAAGATCAGGCTCCACTTTCTAATTAAAGCACAGAAACAGCCAGATCTCTGCTGCAAACCCACCAGCCTGCCCCATCCGAGACACCTCCTTGCTCTGGAATAGAAATTTCTAGGCAGAAATAACTTTTTTTTTTTTTTAGTCACTGCCAAGTGCCAGAGAGGAATGAGCACAAATATCCTCATGTTTAAGGGCTGCTCTTGTCCTCAGGGGGCTGTCAGGAACTAGGGCTGCACAGCCTGAAAACGACCGCGAGAAGGGAGTATCAGAGACTGCCAGAAGCAAGACGGGTCTATCCTGCACCCGGCCAAGGAGACAGAGCGCAGCAACGGCCCTGAACTACCAGCAGCAAACACAAAGGTTGCAAAGTCCGTCTCCGAGCTAAATCAACACCCACCAGCGGGGCCAAAGGTCTCCTCGCTCCCGGTAGAGCGGATCAGCTTCTGGAGAGTCCTCTTAACACCAGAGTTTCCTGACAAATTCGAGGGCTGCGCCTTTTGCGGACTCTCCCAGCAGCTGGATCATTCCCCCCCCCCCTTCCCTTGGCAGCACCAGCAATAGTTTTCTCCTCTCCTGACCTCTAAGGCTAGCTTGAAGGTCTCACTGCCGAGAAACGCCCCGGGGAAGCTGAAACTCCCAAATTAAGCCTTACAAAAATGAAGGTCAGACTCCCAAAACCCAAACTGTGCTCACCTGTGTCATTCTCCAGCTCGAACCGGAGGTTCTCTGAGGGAAGAAGAGAAAGAAATTTAGATCCCTTCGTGCAGGGGGAGTCACCGGGGACTGCCTACACACATGCCACCCTGCTCCCTGCCTTATGGCAAGCCACCAAACCGAAATCCAAAGGAAACGCGCTGCTTTTCAAACACACGGGGCTTTTTATTTTTGATGAGCAGATGCTCAAACAATACAGCGTTCTCCCAACAAGCCCAAGGGAGAAACAAGAGCACAGCTCAAACCAAATCATCTTTTAAGCTGAATTTCATCTTTTAAGCCGAATTAAACATAGGGGTTAGGAGGCACCAACTTTTAAAGAAAACCTTTTTCAGCACTCACCCTTGAACTCCAGCAAGACCTCTTTCAGCACTGCACTCTTCTGAGAAAAGCTCTTGAGTTTCTTCTCCAGCTCCGTGAAGCCAGCCTCCGGCTTGCAAAACATCCAACTCTCAAAGCTGGGGAGGAGAAATAAATATCAGGTTTCCTCTGGGAAAAAAGTAATTTCTCCAAACTAGAGGCAGGGAAGAAACCTGCCCTGGTACCGAAGAGGTTTGGTGTTGGATTATTCTCCCTCTGTCAGCGCTTGCGAGGCCACACCTGAGGACTGGGTCCAGTTTGGGGCTGGCCCAGTACGAGGCACGCAGGAGATGTGGGGGGATCTCCACGCCTTGGCTGGGGCTCGGCCCTGAGCAGCCTGATCCAGCTTCTGATACTGGTCCTGACGGCGTGGGTTTGGTCCCTCACCAACCGAGTTACCCTGCCGTTTCCTCTGGAAGGAGGCTCAAACCCTCCCCACAACCCACCTGCCGCAAACCCCCTTCACGAAGGTTTGGTTTTGCCTCAAAGGTAACACCCGGGTGTGGGTGAGAACCACAAGGCAGGTGGGGGGGAAGCTGGACGGGGCGTACGCCCTCGCAACACCAGCTCTTGCCTCCGGTGTGAGCCTCCCAGGTACCCAGCAAGGGCTCAGGTTCACTCACCTGCTTCCAGCCGGGGCAACACCCTGGAGAGAGAGTAAAAAAAACCAAGAAGCTAATCAGTACAAGTCTCTCTTCTACCTCACAGCCTCCAAAATCCTCCCCAAAACTGGCCCCACGGCTGCTCTGCTGAGGGGATCAGCTCTCAGCAGCTGTTTCCAAGGCAGAGCGCAACTGGACTCATGGAGATGGCAGAATTAGTTTATAATTATGGTGGGTTTTTTCTTCTTTCCCTTTTTCTTTTTTAGGGTGGGTGGGGAAAAAAAACCATGCTGCTTTTTTAAAGAAATTAAGAAAAATCATGATTGCCATCAAGCTGCCAAAACCATGAGGATTCAGGGCTCAAAGCGCCGATGGAGTGACACAAATCAAAAACATTTGGGAGGTTTCTATGGGTATTTCTTAGTTCTTGGTATCAAAGGGAGCCCAAGCAGCTTCACTACTACAAGGGCCGATTTTGCCCCCGAAAGCTGCGCTAAAATTTGGGTTCCCACCTGAAAAAGCAGCCCGGCAGCAAGTCAAAACCGCTGAGGCACAGATGGGCCAGCTCCAGCACAGAGTTAATGGACCTGAGCTGCTCCCCAGCAGAGCATGTCAGCACCCTGCGGTCCCTGTAAATGGATTTTTGTCCCCAGGGATCCCAACCTCAAGCCCTCCCAGGTTTTACACCCTGCTATACCATAACCTCCGGGCTGGAAGGACACATCCCAGGAGTCTCACCTGCCCAGACTGGTTTCCTGGGCCATTCTCTCCTCCCTGCTCGCTCAGCAGCTTATCGAGCTGGGCAATCTCCTCGGAGAGCCGGGAGACGCTCTCATCTCTCCTCCTGACGATGTCTCTGTCTAGCTCCTCCAGACGGGACAGCAGGAGCTGCTCCTTCTCCTCCAAGAAGCCCCGGAGCTCCTTGCACTCAGCCACAATCTTCTGCCTCTCCACTTCTGTCTGCTTCTGCAAAACCCAGAAGGGAACCCACGTGAGACCGACATCCCCGCGGCCGGGAGGGGTTTTGGGGAAACCCCCACCCCACGGCACTCACCAGCAGGTCTTCACTCTGCCTCTCCCTCTCAGCCTTGGCTTCTTCGCGTCCTTTCCTCAGGGAGCTCAAATGCTCCTGTGGCACCTCCTGGAATGAGAAAGAGAAGACCTGTTGGGCATCTTTCCTATTTGGGGTCAGGAATATGGAGGCAAGGGATGGTGGGGGATTCCCTCCAATGTCATCAACTGTGTTTATTTTTTTAAGCTGGAGAACACCATGAACCCAAAAAGAGGCGAGGCCATCCCCGCGCTGTGTCCTCCCCTGCCCTGTTATCCTCAACCCTTAGTTTCGGGCATGCCAAGGAAGCCAAAAGCTTTCCCCAACCAGCCCAAAAATTATCCTCTAAAGCAGCCCAAGCAGTTCGGAGCCAGGTGCAGGAGGAGGAAGAAAGGGCAAGCAAGGCAAAAAAAAAAAAATTAGAGCCAATTTTTAGCTCCCTGTAAGAGCGCAGCTGCAAACGCAAACCACCGAGTCCCACCCACGTGAAAACCCCTTCCGCCTCGGCACCTCTCGGGATCAGCTTTTCACATCCCAGCCCTGCCACGAGCCAGGGAGACCTGCCGAGGCACCCCAACATCTGCCTGAACCCCACCGAGATGGAGGGGCCGGCCACCTCCAGGCTATTCCGTAAGTTTATTAACGGCTTATTACTGGAAACCGTCGCGCCCGTCCTCATTTAAGTCATTTGACCTCCGAGGAAGACGGAGAGGCTCCTAGCAACACTAAACAAAAAGCAGCAGGGCTTTTGGGAGTGAGCAACGACAGATCTTTTATAAATAAAATGCAAAGCTACAGAGATTTTGCTGTTGTTAACCGGCCGTGCAAACCAGTGCTTGCTACCATGCGCCTCATGATAATGCAGAATTTAAGCGCGAGATAAAAGCAAAGATCGGAAAAACGGGGGCATGGGTTGCAAGCAGCCCCCGAGGGGCAACAACCCGTTGTTAAAAAAATGCATAAAACTCATTAACAAGGGGGAAAAAACCCAAGAGAGCAACAGCCGGAACAGCGTTCAATGGCGGACCTGCCTAAAGATGCTGCGGTCCTAAAAAAGGACAAGATCCCAAATTTGGGAGTGGGGGGGGGACGACACCAACTCAAGCTCCAGCTTCCAACTAAGAGCAACCACAGCCACCGAAGATGGCAAGGACAGCACAACCGGGCAGCCGCAGCACAACCGGGCAGCCGCAGCAATTTCAGTACAAAATTCAGTATAAAAGCCTTTGGTGCCACCTGCCTCGACACCGATAATTGCAAGAATTAATATGCAGCGGTTAATGATCACGCAATACCCTTCCCCAATCCATCGTGATCGCCCCAGCTGCGCCGGTGCCACCCTCCTCCTCCTCCTCCAGCCGCCGCTGCGCACTAAACATCCGCTCCCCATCCGGCATCTTGGTTTTCCTCCACCCCAGTGGAGAAAGAAGGCCTGGCTGCTCGGGGTCAGGCCGTCACACTCACATGCATCTTAATTATTAATTAATAATTATTTCCACCAGGGAGCCCCTGCATTGCAACATGTCGGTCTCCCCTTCATCGCCACGGCGGTTTTGGCGGAGATCAAATGCCGCCGGAGGCCGGGCTCCGTATTCACTCTGCGTCACATTGCTCAACTGCCCTGTGCTGGTCTTTTTTTGGGGGGGACAAAGTCACTCCTGGGGGATTCCTGCTCCACTTTAGCCCCAGATTGTGCTCGGTGCTAAAATAATAAGGCCCCCCACGCCCAGGAGCCAGGCTCCATGCTCACTCCAGAGCATTTCCGCCCAGGGAAGCGGGAGCTGAGGATTTTGGGGTGCCTAATGGTATTTTGCACACTCACACCCGCACAAAGGCGACCCCAGGGATTCCCATACCAGCTCAGCGTTATTTCACACAAGAGACCAAACTGGCCAACAACCCCCTCCCAGTATCTTCCCAGTTAAACCCAGCTCCATTTTGCACCGGGGACATTCCCCCATCCTGCCCTACTGCACGGGGTCAGCTCTCACCCCAGGGTGTTCCCGTTTGGGGCGGGGGATTTGAGTCCCTGTTGCACTCTGCATCCTGCCCCACTGTATGGAGGAGCACCCACCTTGGAAGGGGGTCCCCAGTGGGGCCGCATTTGGCACCCCACACTCTGGGGGGGGGCCCCCACTCACTGCACCCCAGGCACATATGAATGGGGGCATACACATCAGGGGGGTGTTCCCTGTTGCACCTTACACCCTGGGGGCAGTGGGTCGCCAGTGGGTACAAGGGGGGTGCACTGCCTCCCGTGGGGAGGGGGTTCCCGGTGGACTCCCGCCCCATAGGGTGTCCTTATTGCAGCCCCAATTCGGGGTGGGGGGTGTCCCTGGTACTCTCCCTTCGCAGAAAGGGCCCTTATTGCATCCCCCATCGTGGGGGGTGGTCTCCTGCACCCGAGAAGGGCTCCCCGGAGCATGTCCTCATTGCACCCCAACATACGGGGGAGGGCTCCCAGTACTCTCCCTCCTTGGGGGGGGGTCCCTACCATCCCCCGA